TGTTTTGATATTGTATAATAACTGATGATCTCATGCTGCTGTTGCTGTTGCTATGTTGTCAAATGGTGCGAAAGCCTTCGTCAAGCCTTAATGGCTTTTTGCTTTCGCCCCACAGCATCACTGTTGTGACTTTTTTGTAAAAAAAATCACAAAGCCAAGAGTGAACCCAGGCATTCTCTGAAGCAGCCAATTTTTCTACCCCAGAGCCACACGACTGCTTAATGTTGCATCCACCACGGTGGATCAGGGGCTAAGGTGCTCGCCTGCTGAACCAAGTTTGGGAGTTTGATCCCGGCCAAGGCAGTCACATCTCTACAACTTCTTACAATGCAACGAGTGTGCCTGCGAACAGTTGTTATTATTATTGACGAAGTGTTTGCCACAACGAGCTGGTTCAGGCAGAAACCCGGCAAGCACGAGCCAAACGAATGTTGTCTTCTTTCACGCTGGCATATAGCTGGCACTACTTTGCTCTGGTACATACTATTTACTTTGCAAGAGGGTGCTTAATATATGAAATGAGTGCCTTGCATCCTCTCAATTCTGAAAGCTTGACTACCGCATGTATTCAACTTGAAAGGAAAGATGTGCCTTATTTTTATCGTGCTTCATCTTGCTGTATTTATTTTATCACAGATAGATTAATTGTCCTCTGTGGTTTCCAATTCACCCAAACAACATTCATATATTTAAAGCCTCCTATGTTGGGAGCCTTGTCTAGAACTGCATGCTTGATCTGGGAGCGTAGGGGTAAACACAAAGCAAAAAGGAGGCACACAGCACGAGCTCTCGTGCTGTGTGCCTCCTCTTTGGTTTGTGTCTGCGTTTACCCCCGCGCTCCCAGTTCGCTGAACAATCATGAATTGCCAACTCGCCCACCTTTCCATCCTATTGCACTGCATGCTTGCTATGGCAAAGGGGCTAAGAAAGCATGTGTTCGTAGAAAACATCCATAAAGTGGCTTGTAACGAGCCTGTAATCAGTGTAACTTATTTCACATGACTCCCATGTTGCACAAATCACTGGCTCTTGCCTTCTTGCGGAACGAGTTTGTAACAACGAAGAATTTTGTAATTTGTTCACAGTATGTATGAAAAAATTTGTTTTCCTCTATCTCTTACCTGTCAGCATCAAAGTAGAATTACATTCTTGTGCGCCTTAAAATAAACCGATATTCACAACTCTGTTTCCTGTGTGGTTTTGTTGATGCCACACATGCATGCACAGTCTGTGTACAGTTCTAGCCATGTTTTATGCAATGCAGCAAATAAGAACGAACTTTCTGCTGTACGGCAAATGTACGATGAAGCAAGCCCTGTGGGAATTGCAACTCGGGTGACAAATTGCTAGCAGAGCTTTTTTCACGTTATACAAAATTATGTTATTGCATCAACAAAGAAACAGATAAAAACCAGTTCCAAGGTAACACACAATACTGCACTAATGCTTTGCTGAGTGTAAATACCTTCTTTTGGTATGACTAATTTTTCCAGTCATTATTTATTATGTGTCTATGCTGAACATCTTCCGATACACAATGAGGCAAAAACATCCTATGTCCTCAGCTTCAATCAAGCTCTTTTTTTTTTACAGCCTTGCCTATCTACAAAAATTTTGTACAATAGCCTGCTTAAATATGGAACTGTGGTGCATTTGCCATGACTGAATTATGGCGTGCAGTTTCTTTATGAGAAAAAAATCAAACAGCACCATACTTAAAATATAAGTTGAAAAGGGCAGACCCATGTTGTGTCTGTTGTCTTCTCTTGAATTTGTCTACAGTGCTGCACGATTCATTCCTAAAACATATGTATTCAGTAGTACATCCTCGATCAGTGCGTGCTATTAAGCACATCGCGAAAAAAATGCTCCACACAATAATTGAGGGAGTTATTCATTTCAGAGCTTAGTATAGGAGCAGAAGGTTCACTTTGGCATGCATAGATGCTACAACAAAAAAAAAAAAAAAAGAAAATGAGTATGCAACTCTTGCAGGAAGTTAAAAGCATGCCAGCAATTGTAAAGCTGAAGAAAAAAAGGACAAAGGATTCCAAAGGCCTAGCTAGTACCCATACAAAATAAGACATCATAATCTCGTGTGCTTAAAATAAACGGTTATTCGTACCCTGGTTTCCTCTATGACTTTGCTGATGCTAGTGGTGTATGCATTGTCCCTGTACTGGTGTGGCGATGTATGAAACACAGCAAAGAAAAACACTTCTCTATAGTATAAGTACGTCCCAGGAAAGAGTATGGATTTGTTGACTAATTGCTAATTGGGTTATTTTGAACAAAAAAGAGAGTATATGTGGTTGTTTCAACAGGGAAAGAGATAAAAGAAGTGTCCAAAGTTGCAAGCAATGTTGCACTTATGCTGTCCTCAATGTAGTTATTTCCTTTGGTTATGATTTATATACCAGTCATTTTTGTGCATGTGTCTATACTAAGCAATCTTATGACTGATAACAGAGCCAAAATATTCTGTACCAAGTAAGGGCAATGTTTGCTGTGTCACATTTATCAAATGTCTCAATTATTAGGCTGCATTTGCATAGATTTGATTTAGCCATGCATTTATGAGGACGACATTCATCATCACTGAATAAAGAAAGGGTCGGGTAAAAATTACAGACACAGCATGTGTGTCCATTGCCTTCTCTCTATTTCATCGACAGCCCTGTTATTCCCTCCTAAAAAAAGTAGTATCCCAAACAAAAACTATAAAAGTCATTCCTTCCACTTTTGCCAAAAAATTATAAAAGCATATGCCAGCAATTGTAAACAGAAAGGAAAGAAAGGACAGAAAGGAAATGTCTTTCAAATGCTAGGCGTTTCATTGTTAAAAAACTTTGAATATATCTTTCTGAAAGAATCGGACTTGCAGTGAATTAGCACTGTATAGTTAATACTGAACTTTAAGTATGGTCACATATAACGTGTACAGTGCACTAACATGCGCATCATCACTGCACAACAAAAGTCATTGCAGTTGATGGATCAGGGAACCAAGTTTTAATTGCAGCTACATAAACTGCTTAATGCATCTCGGTTCTCTCGAGAGAACCCAAGATGCACTGTGCACCCGGACATATATTGTTGCAAGACGTACTCGTACTGCAAATCAAACAACTTGTGGAAGGAATACGTACAGGCGATAATTAACAGCATATGATGTTGTGAAACCAATGTGACGATCACTTGTATGACTTAATTTTTGTGATTGATTTTTCCGGTGGGTATGTTAGAAAAGTTGTTAGTGAGTCGTTAAAAGAGATTTGGTTGTATAGAGCAGCGGTACGTGATATTCCACGCTCGCTGATTTCTTTTTTATATGATAGGGTTGGACCCATGAAATATTGATCGGCGCAGGCCGCACCAGAATGTTTGAGAAACTTCTAGATTGTTTTAGACTGCTAGCGTATACTGCACGTAAGACAGTTTTTATTACTGTGCTAACTCCCAAGGCGAGCCCCCGCGATAACTCTCGTTCCACTGACGGTTAGATTATTGATGGCTATGATGGTCGTAATCAATATTCTACTGCGAGTGTATGTGTGATCGAGTGAACTTGGTTTTCCGGGCACAAGTCTACTCGACTTAAGATCGCGTTTCTTCTTTAAACAGTTGATATGGCCACCTTTCTCATAAAACGGCACACCATCATGAACACACATGACATTAGATATATACTGCACGACTTAGATCGTCAGATGAGAAGCGGTTCTGAATGCCAGGCGAATGATATACATCGAACTACGTACTGGACGCAAGCGGGATAGTTCGCTTATCATACTTGTACGCGCAATAGCTTAAGATAACCACGTGATGTCGCCACGAATCTGGTCTCTAGAGATAATGCTGACACTGATCTACTCGTTTGAGTCAAAATTGCGCCGTCGTGACCAGAGTTGAAAACAATGGAAAGAAAAACATGTGTGTTGATTACTTAGCCCTGAATTGTCATGTTGCGATCCGTGCATTTGTGTGTGAATTCACACTTGTAAAAGCACATGGATATATCAATCTGATGTGCAAGAGGTGTTAATTCTTGTTAGTCTGCTTGCCATGAGCAACCCAAGAGGTCAAATACCCTCCGTTACATATATAGCTAGATTTTTAAACGCAAAAAAAAAAAAAAACAAAAAACTTGATCAGTCTATCTGGACATAAAAGAATACTCTGATAAATCAAACTGATACACACATATATGTTGAAATGGTATATAGCTCAAATATACCCACTAATTAAAATAATAAGCACGTGACACCACTGCACTAGTGAACAAAAACTATGCACAATGAGGAATACTCATTTGAATCTGTCCCAGCACACGTGCATTAAAAATTTATTATGAAACATTGCGACACGTGAAGTCCTCAATAAATGCGAGGGAAGATGATTTTCGCACGAATGCTGCATCAGGGGTGGAAGCAGGGTCTAGCTTTTTGGAGCAGGCACGGGAGCAGCAAAAGTCTTATTTTGGAGCAGCAAAATCCCATTTTGGAGCAGGTTTGGAGCAATTTAGGGGCTATTTCGGAGCAGTTTTGGAGCGCAGTGATGGCCTTAAATAATGCGGCTGAACGCACTTTTATTAGCAACTAATCCAAAAACTGCTAGAAAAATAGAGTTGGCCAGAATTGTTTAGGAGTGCAATAAACGAAAAAATTTTTCGCTGAACTTCCGGAAAAAAAAAAGAGAAGGGCAGACACTAGAAACAGTAGTTGCCTTAGACAAGCTAATAATTTCAGTCGAAAACAGATGGAAAGCACAACATCATGGGGGAAAAACTTTATGTGTACTGAACCAAACCATTGCACTTTCCTGCAACACCACTTACATAGATCACGACGACAATGTACAAGAGTAAACATCAGTGCCAAAAGAACCTTGCTGCAGCACCTTGCCGCTAAACAGGTGTTTTGTGTTTAGCGGCAAGGTGCTGCAAGGTGCTGCAGCACCTTGCCGCTTTAGCGGCAAGGTGCTGCAGCACCTTGCAGCACCTTGCCGCTAAACACAAAAACACAACACAGCCACGTAATGAGATGTGCACACAAACACCATTTTCACAAGGATTCAGGTTGCCTTCATAGACTGAAGAGCCAAGTCAACTGCTTTGATTCGCTCAAGCACAGAGGGCAGTTTAGAGTTCACATCCCCCAGCAAAACATTGCCACTCTCCACTTTGTCCATGTCTTTGGCAGCCAGACCTTCGCTTATAAGCTCTTGTGAACTTGCAAGCAGAGCTTTGAGAGACGACAGTCGGTTTTGGAGGCTCGACTTCTCGTTGATCAGCTTCTTTCGCTCGCAGTGTTCACTTAGCTCCTCCTCCTCATGCTTTCGCTCCTGGAACGTCGCAGCGTTTTCTCGTTCAATTCGCTCCCGGTACACCTTGTGGGACTTTTTAACACTTCTTTGGATGTCCCTGGTGAGAGGCACCTTTGTAGCATCTCCACTGTACCTTTTCATAAAGGCCTTGGTTTGCCGAAGGCTAGAAATGCTTGCTATAGACAATGTGCTTCGATGGTGCACTGTCTGTTTGTTTTCACTAAACCCTCGTTCACAGTCTGCGTTACCGTGAGGTAGCGACAAGACTGCTTTCACAAGCTTGGTGACCTTCGGGTACTTAGCCTGCCCAGCAGGCGTCTGTAGTGAGAACACGCTCGCCGAATGAGTGACTACATTAGGTGACGATTCCCAGTCACTGGTTTCACAGATCAGGGAGTTCCACTCATCGGTGAGTGATGACACATCGCAGGGTGGGATGACTTGGGGCAGAGAGTTAGCCACATAGCGCAGCGAAGGAGTCGTCGAACTCCTTTCTATGGCTGGGTTTAAAAACCTTAAATGAAACAACAGCTTGTTGTCGAGTGGAAGCCTCGAGATCAAGTGCTTGGCACAGGCGATGTAGAAGGCTCTTGCACCAATGTAAAATGCCTTCTTCTCTCTAGGATTCCATTGCACCATTGACAGCTCCGTGTCAAGGCCAATTTCTGGTTTTGCCTTCCAGTTTGCAGCGGAGTGTACATCACGTTCTTTCAGTTGCGCCCCACTAGCCGTTGCAAATGACTCTTGGCGTACGAACCTTCCAAGGACCTGCTTTACAAGAGCCACCATCTCGTCATAGACAACATGCACGAGGGGGTCCTTGCTTTGGAACAGTGTCTGGAATCTGTCAAATATCTGAGCTGCGTTACGAAGAAAAAGCAGCTTTGCCTGCAGTGCTTTGCCTGAAAACGCGGAAGACAGCCGACCATGCCTCATGGACAATGAAGACCACGGCTGTCCAGCCTTGGAGAAGAACGCCGTGAGGGCATCATACGACTTGAGCACTCGTTCAACGCTAGGAAGCAACGTCAGCCATCTGCTGCTCACGTGCCGCAAAAATTCTAGTTGGGGCACTCCAAGATCCCTCTGCAAATCTTTCATGTCTGCATGCCTTGTGGCAAACATGAAATAGCAGTGGACGTCAGTGACAAGCGACTCCACTTTCGCACCGAAGCTATCTAGCCCAGCTGCAAAGGCTTTATGGACTTTGTGGAGCCCACATTCACCAACCAATGTCGACCATGTTGGGGCTCACTTCCGTCTTTAACTTTCGCTTTAGGCTCTTCATGACATTCGGGCCATCACTGTAAAAACATATCATATTGTTCTTACGAACATCACTGAGGGCATCCTCAATGCACGAAAAGAGCTCATCAGCGGTCGCGTGACCCAAATGAAATGACTGGAGATGCTCTACTAGAACATTCTCGGTGTTAGTGCTATAATATCGCACAAGCACATCCAGTTGTTGCACCTTGGCCTCGGGGATTGGGCTCTCATCAATCATGATGCTGTAAAATGTGTCGGGAATGTCGAGCTCCTTAATAACTTTTGCTTTGAAATACGGCCCAAGCCCATCAGAAATGGTATATGAAAGTTTCTTGCGTCCACACTGGAAGCCTTTTGCCGTCTCGGAATCTGGAAACATGGGGGGGTACTTCGCCGTTGCTACATCTTCAAATGTGTACGGAAGGTTGCTCGAGACCACAGAAAGGGCAAGAAGAGTTTCTGCCTTTGTCACCTTTTCTTGAAGGGACACCGCTGTTGCACTGTGTAGGTCCAGTGTGCTTTGAATCATTGCACTTTTGGTAAGAGCACCTTCTGCATTGCGGTTTCTCTTCGCTTGTGCGATGTGCTTCTGAGAGCTTGCGTGACGGTATATCGCTGCAGTGCCATGTTGCCCACAATGCACAGTAGTGCAGCAAAGCGTGCAAAAGGCATCGCTGTCCTTAGAAGTTGGCTGACACCACAGTGATATCAGATCTCCATTGGCATCCTTTTTCGTGAACACATCAGTGTTCAGCTTGGTGCACCGCTCTAGACAAAAGAAAAAAGCCAGACGTCAAAAACTGTCTTCAAACAAAACCGGCAACAACTCTCAGTTTGCTCACCACAAAACAGGGACTCAAGTAGGGGCAGTGTCCCCTATTATTGTTCCTATTCGTGTTATCAAATAGGAGCTGGCACATTGATATTTCCTTTTACTCGGGACTGAAACCTGCTTTTTGCCATTTCCTTTAAATGCAGCGACTTTTTGGCTATTATTTATATAATAATCAACACGATGTTCCTAACGGTGGCTGCTTTTTAAAATTTTTTGGTAAAGTAGTTTCGAGCTAAAACAATTGCATGCTGTGCTCCGCCCCGCTCGCGCCGGCAAGGCCCGACACGAACGCTGCCGCCCTCGCCTCAGCCGTAAAATCAAGCACCGTGAACGTGTTCTGCCCGCGCGACACTCGCCGAGCGTTCATGGTCTCAGGCGCATCGATAGGCCCCAACGCGAGGACGGGTGCCGTACAATATGACGCCGTTTTCGCAGCAAGCTGCCGCCGCTGCGTCGACCGAGGCAGGCAAAGGCACGCAGCTAATGAAGGAGGCGATTTCACGACGCCTCATTGCGTAGGAGACGCGAAAGCGGGCACGGCATCCCATCAAGACGCCCGCTTTCGCGGCCGAGTCGGGCCTCGTTGGCACGCGAACGAGTACGGCGGCTGTGTTCTGTGTTACTCTCTGCACGCAATTGTTTTAGCGCCACACCACTTCTTTCATTAAAGCAGTGTGAAAAATTCGGCTTCAAATGAACTTCTGATGCAAAAGGGGCCGTTATTAACAGCGGAGCTGTCTATCCGCACAGAACAGGGGGATAGTTCGCATGGCCTAGGAAGTGGCCGCGATCTGAATGGCACGGCGTGCTATTGAAGATGAGTCTGTCAATGCTCGCCTGCAACAGCTTCGCGATGCATGTCTTCACGCAAGAGTGCAAGTTTCCCTACAATTTTGTTTTTTAAAAAATTGTGCAGGCCCCGAACAATTAGACTTCAATCACCACAGTAACTGCGTACTCCCGCAATAACAAAAAAAAAAAAAACTACAGACGCGAAGGGATTGTTCGTCTTACTTGTAGCAGCTGAAAATTCCAGAGGCCATGCCTCAAGTTATATCACTACATAACTCTTCAAAGTACTTACTTTTATTCATGCTGATGACAGCCTTCCGGAAAAGCACGAGGTAACCATGAATGCACTGCGCACCGAACCACGAGTCTACGACCTCCTCTATAAAAGTTTATAGAGGAATAGAGGAGGTCGTGCACCCACGGAGTCCTTCCTCCGTGTCGTGCACTGAACTGCTGTGGCCGCCGTGGCTATGGATGCGACTGCGTCTAGTGTGGGGCCAGTGCTTAGTGTTGCCCGGATGACGACAACACTCGGCTAAATTTGGCGTTGAATGCTATAAATAGACGATATTCGCGCAAATTGCCATTTCTGCGCAGCTTGGCGCAGCAGGGCAAATTGGCGCACAATGGCGCAATTGGCGCAGCAGTTCCACCCCTGCTGCATGCAAATGACACGTTGCTTGATCAGGTGATAGGTACAGCTGATGAAAGTTAGTGCTAATATGAATGAGTGTATGCTATAGCACTCAGTGTAAAACAATTAAGGCGAATATCTTTTATTTTCGATCTTGGAAATGAAGCATGTTGTGAAAGAGAACCTGAAAAATCGCGGGTTAGATTGCGACTGCGACTGATGCGAAATTCTATACAATCAGCATGCATGCACATTCATCGAAGGTGTGCTCGTTAAGAAATACAAAATCATTGCCAGACCTCTGTGATGTGGCTCTTAACAAGCATACCAATAAGAATTATCACCTCGTGCGCATCAAAGTGATATTTTCATGCGCTTTTATACGGGTATAGCTGTACAGCACATACTTTTGTTCCAAATCCAACCATTTTCACCGCGGATCAAATCAGTGTAATTTTGACTCCAGCCTTTAGATCAGAGTCAGCGTGATCTCTAAAGACCAAAGTCGTGGTGATGTGACTTGGTTACCTTAAGCTATTGCGCATGTAAGTATGATAAACTAGCCCGCCAACGCGTCCAGTCCCTGTACGATGTTTAATACGTGGTGACAGTCCTAAGTCCATGCACAGAGTTTACTGATTGGGACCCCTTTGAATACGTACCCGTCGTTATCGCGGAGGCTCGCGCTTAGACTGTATACTCGTGCCGTGGGCGCGAATAGTCTAAAACGATTTAGTATAAGTTTTTCAAAGAGTCTCGTACGGCCATGGCGGTCAAAGACCTAAACATGAGCGTGCCCACCTGTTGCAGCAAAAGCAGTAATAAAAATTATACAATGAACTCGGTTGTTATAAACTACAGTCGTGGCTCTCACATGGGCTTTACAGCAATTCCTAATATATCCTGCAGTGAATTATCACCTGTATGCCTTGAAGCTAGTTGTTCAGACTTTCTTTATGCGTTAACGTAAACACCATTAATTACTTTGCACAACTTGTATCTCTTGCAGTGTTCCAGTAACTGCAGCTAATTATTTACAGAAAACTTTGTTAGCCGAGTTCCCCACAAAACACAAGCTAAAAAACTTCTAGTGAATGTCCGAAAAGGATCGTCCAAAAGTATATAAGAAGTCTTGTTGAGATGTTATCTGAACCTAAGCAGCTTGAAAACCTCCTGTAGCTGTGCTACAAGTGGGTATGTTTGCATAGAACAGTTTGTGGCAGTCGTTTTTCCAGACACTCCCACTTGGAAAAATTCTTCGAGCATGTCTATGCTCCGAGATATTCCACTCGGAAGTTTTTTGTGCTTTTCATGATTACGCATATGCAAGGCAGCGAGGATCACCAAAGCATTACTCCCTGGTGAGACAAGCAGTCAGTGCTTGCTATTCCAGCCGGTAGTAAAATGTAACCAATATAATACTTGTCTATGGCTGCAATTCATGATCAGATTATATGCAGCACCTCAGAGAGTAGTAGCTGTGTGCTAGTGATCACTGTCCTGCATGCATAATGACACAAGCCACAACTATACTTTCCAATGGGATATCTGAGCACAGGCATGCCAGAATTCTTTGGACCTATGTAGAAATGTGACTATGGCTCGAAATTTTAATACGTGCATGGCGGCTTGCTGCAGTCACTAATAAGTTCATTATTTAATCTTATTCAAGGGCACGACTGACAGTTATAATTGTCATTGCACATTGTGTTCCCCTGAACACTTAGCTCTCTGCAAAGATGGCTTTTACACACACATCTTACAGCACTGACTTTTTTAAAGAAAAACAAAAGGCTTAATATTGAACATCCTGAAAATGCGAGCTACTTGAATACAGCAACCCGGTGGCTCAGGGAAGTTCCCTTTCCATAGGAAACAGAAGTCATGCGCAGCTGTTGTTCATTCAGTAGCCAACTTTTCCACGAGTCACCATTGATGACAGGCTTGTCTGGAATTCTTTCACACTCAGTTTGTACAAGGTGCATGCATAGGCTGCAATGGAAACACAAAAAAAAAACAAACATTTTAGTGACATGTGTCTTTTAAAAAAACTGAATTTGTCGGTATATTTAAATTGATTTTGAACAATGTGTCTTAAAACAAGCAGGATGTACACAAACTCAAGATGTTACAAGCACAACTTTCTTGATGTTTTTTGCAAACACAGTTGCAACCTTATGAAAGAAAATGCAATTTCCACACTGCAGATGTGTCAAAACCATGCTTGAATTGCGCTCGCGCATAGTGCGTTAAAAGCAAATTCATTGTTACCTCAACACATACATGATGGTATGCACTTTCGTCAAGTATCCACTGCAGGTGACCTATATTATTGAACATGAATTTGATTTCTAATACAACTAATGTAGCTTTTTTCAGGCTGCTCATACTGGGACAATTATACCTATAATGTCATCAATTGGTGTCAATAAGTTACTATTGTGTGCTGCCAAATTATGGTCATCAGTTTCAATCATTCTGGTTGGCTAAAATGGCAGTACCCTTACTCAAGCACCACAGGCTGTCAATGCAAAAAAAAAAACACACATGAGGCACGCATCTTGAACCACAAACCATCCCAATAAAGCATACAAGCTTCTGCAACGATCTCCGGGAAGTGACATTACATGCCAGCACCGTTGCAGACAGTCACTTCAGCGCCACGGCGAGTCATGGCACGAACTAATACGAGTGGACTCACCCTAGGTGCTTTTCTGGTGACCGCGCGCTGCCTAGGCACCTAAATCGCGCGGACATCCCTAGGTGCTTTAGTCCCTAGAGGTGCGTCAACGTCCACTGTCAGCACTTCCTCTAGTTTGGTCGATGTCAATTTTGGTGTTGTGCAGCGGTGTGTATGAATTTCGGTATTATTCCTTGCGAATCTGGTGATGTGGCAGTGATTCTCGACCGACCGATCCTTCAGAGGGGGAAGATCGAGCGCCGTGGGTGTTTCGTGTAAGCGGTAGCGTTGAATGACCAACATCCCACGTCGATGTGATATGCTCAAGTGCTGGCTGTCTTGTGTGTGCTGTGTGGTGGTTTGTTTGACAAATTTAGTTCCCTGCACATTTGATGATACCATAGTGTTGGCTGGTTCATGCGAGTCGTAGCGTTGAATTACAGCCACGTAAGCGTGATCATGTTTGTGCAGACATACTTCCGAATGAGATTTAGGGTCTGACACACTGTACTGACAACACCACTGTCACACGGGTTCTTGTTTGCTATGTCGTACCCTTTTATATCGCAGTTATATGACGGCTGCATAGTATTTGATCCAATTAGTTTGGCCAGTTAGCGGTGACTAATACTGGTGTCACCCGAATACTTTTGATTTAGATCGACAGTTCTGTCGCTGCTGCGCCGGATCGAGTTTGGCGCAGACGCCCTAGCTGATTGCAATCAAATGTGCCCGTGTGACACCGGTATGATCGCATGTGCGAATGCTCAAACCCTTTCTGTGCGCTCTGAGGTCTCTATCTTCTTGGCTGCTGGTTGCGTCAGTAGACGAGTATGCAAGAAAAACAATTTACTACATATGCAAAGCTATACTATCAAAATTATGTAGAAACGGTGCATCATACCGGGTAGCTAGGTCTGTAATAATGAGACGTCCGCAAATAAGCACATGTGCACAGAAGGACTGAAAGCTGGACAAGTTGGTGACAGTACTTTAACATATTTTAACACAGCCCACGACTATGCGGGCACAGGAGCGATTTGTCCCTTCTCTAGTGTCTGTGTAGTCCTGCCCTGTGTTACAATACATAGTGTGCACGTGCATCACGCAGCGCCCATTCGTCACTTCTGAAATGCGCCACCGACATGCCTGGGTACCTACTGACTCCGTGGCCGACCACTGCCGTGTTGATTCCTCGTGCATGCGCCCGTTCAGTTTTACCTAATGATGCAAGTTGGAGAAATTATCAGCTGCTGGTGAGGCAAGTTGATATAACAGTCCACAAAGAGCGAGCAGAGCGTCAGGGTGTTTTCTTTGCCAAAAGTTATTACCTAAAATTGAGAACGCACATTGCAATTTTCCAAAAAGCACCGGCATGTTTGGCTGGCACAGATTAACAAAAACAACTTGAAGAACCGGTGATATTTGCGTCTTCAGGTGTAACTTCATTACGGGTAAGTGCTATATCCAAGCATGTACCTGCAAACAGAGTTAAGTATTGTATATACAAACTTGTTCGCGACCGCTTCGTGCAGAATCAGCGTGTCAGGGAGGCAGTTAAAATTGTGAAGGCGATCGCGGGAATTCGGGTATTGCATTCAAACAAACTGTGAACTTGGATGTGAAACACTATTCGTTCACTCGCGATTTGAAGTATAGCCGATCGATTCGAGTTGGGGGGTCAGTTTTTTAAAAATTGGTCGATTGATTCCCTAAAGCGGTCTGCATCATTTTCAGGGACAATACTGTATATTAGTGCAGAACAACAAAAGTAATATACAAGGTAAAAAATCAGTCATAACGTACGCGAAAAAAAGTGACCGGCATCAGCGTGGCACGTACCACGCGAAGTCTCTACCTTGCATAATATATTCCTTGGTTGTTTCCGAAAATTCAATCAAAGACACTTAACATCAGCAATGTTTAAAACGCTCGGGAAGCAGTACTGCCGCGTTGAGCCTTGTAAAAGACAAGTCCACTTGTCAAAACATCGTCTCCAGCACCCACCCCTCGTTTACAAAATTTTCATGGCTCCCCAATGTGTAATTTTTACTAATAAATACTAAAAAAACTATCAAGCGAAACCATCTTACGAAGTTTCTAATCTAACAAAGAATTTCCATTCACTGGCAAA